AGCGCCTACACAGGCCGCATTTGCGGTCGGGGTAGACGACGGATGGGGCCCACCTACGAAGGCTGTCCAGGCCTACACGAGATGAGGCAGGATAAAGAGGGAAAATCCCCCTCGATACCAAATCATTGAGGCCAATTTCTAGCCATGGAATAATGGCGCGCATTTGGCACTCCTCCGATGACGTTATTTCTGTGTTTACACTTTTTGAAATTGAACGCACTCCATTTAAATTTTATGTCTCATCATGGAATTATAGCTGTCGACTGTCAATTAGAGTAAGTTTCTTTTTATTGACACAATACAATTCACAATTCACGTTACAAAAGAGGATAGTTAAAAAATGCCGAGTCAAGAAGTAACAACAACTAAAGTGGTGGTTCACCCTCTAGTTTTACTGAGTGTGGTGGACCACTTTAATCGTATGGGTAAAATAGGAAACCAAAAACGTGTAGTTGGAGTACTATTAGGATGTTGGCGAGCTAAAGGAGTGTTAGATGTATCCAACAGTTTTGCAGGTTAGAATAAATGTTATTGATAGTTCCTCATATTTTACCAAAGAAACGATTATTGATTTCATATTTTTCGATCCGCTTAAAAATATTGTTGTATGATAAAAGTATTTTACTTTGCTTTTAATACGTTTCTTTAATGGCTTATTCGTTTCAGTACCTTTTGATGAAGATGATAAGGATAAATCAGTGTGGTTCTTAGATCATGATTATCTAGAAAATATGTATGGTATGTTCAAAAAGGTCAATGCACGGGAACGAGTGGTGGGATGGTACCATACAGGACCAAAGTTACATCAAAATGACATTGCAATAAATGAATTAATCCGAAGATATTGTCCAAATTCAGTATTGGTAATTATTGATGCTAAACCTAAAGACCTTGGACTTCCTACTGAAGCATATCAAGCTGTGGAAGAAGTACATGATGATGGGTCACCTACTTCGAAAACTTTTGAACATGTACCTAGTGAAATAGGGGCCGAAGAGGCTGAAGAAGTAGGAGTGGAACATCTACTTAGAGATATTAAAGACACAACAGTAGGAACCCTTTCCCAGAGAATTACCAATCAGCTGTTGGGGTTAAAGGGTCTACATTCACAATTGAGGGATATACGAGATTACCTGATACAGGTTAGCGAAGCAAAATTACCTATTAATCATCAAATTATTTATCAGTTACAAGACATATTTAACCTTCTACCTGATATCAATCAAGAGGTTTTCACAAAATCATTTTATATTAAAAATAACGATCAAATGCTGGTGGTATATTTGGCTGCTATGGTAAGATCTATTGTTGCATTGCATAATTTAATCAACAACAAATTAACAAATCGAGACGCAGAGGAGGGTAAAAAAGAAGATAGTAAAAAGGAAAAGGAGAGTAAAGATAAGGATAAGGATAAAGAAAAGGATGGAAAGAAGGATGAGAAGAAGAAATCTTAAACAAAGAAATTCATGTTAAATTAGAATTTATTAATATGTATGCAAACATTTCTCTACAATAAATTATGTTTTATAACAAAATATTTACAGTAATTAATTAGAATTATTTATTTACAATTAATGTAGGTGACTACTCACATTGTTTTGAATTTTTTGATAAAGAATAAAATTCTGTAAATGTATTGTGTCCATAAGTAATTTTTGCCTCTAAATTTTTTTCAAGTTCTTTAGAAATAGTTAATTTGAATATTTTGAGAATATAAATTGTAGGTAGGGTTGCCAACACCAAGTCAACGACCTGAAGAAATATTTTCACAATTTCGTTGTAACAACAAAAAAGAAAAATTTTTGTAAATGAAAAATAAAATTTGTAAATTTAGAAAACATAAACTTATAAATATACTAATGGAAAAAATTAAGGGATCCAAAAAAAAATCTAAATTTTTGGGCGATTTTTCAAATAGCTGTATCTTTGATAAAAATGGTCGTATTGGAGTTAAAAAAAAGCTATTTGAAGCTTGAAGTTTCTAATTTTTGGATTTTGCAAAAAAAAATTTACAAGTAACACGTATCGCGCAATCTTAATGAATATCGTGAAAAAAAATATTTCGAAATTTTTTTCGATCTTATTTTTGGTGTACAGACTTCAAAAAAATTTTTCCAACTTAACTACCTTATGGATTAGATAGGTTGTTCATTTAGCTTCAATTTCTTTTCTTTTTTTTGTCTCGATACGACCATTTCTCGCTGAGCTATCGGACTTTGAATGAAAATGGATCATTTTCTCTTCATCGATATCTCGGAAACCAATGGTTGCACAGAAAATCGACGGAGGGTTTCAGAAGCTTGAATGAATTCTCTACAAGGTCCTGGCACGGTTTTTTAGAAAAAAGTTTTTTTTTATCCTTACCTAACATGACTGAAAAATCGTAAAAAAATAAGACTTTTAGGGGTCTTCTAGAAAATCACGTGCCACATTGAGAATATTGGGAAAATGACTAATGTTAAGTGTGTCTTTTACAGGTCATTGTACCCCTAAAAGCCCTACAGAGTTTCAATTCGATCCATTCGATTTTCAGAAATTTCGCAAAACCGCCGGCATTAGCGTTACCCAAAGCGTACCACGTGGAGGTTGCACGGTCGGATTTACGCTTCTTTTACACACGTGCGAAAAGCGTTTGAAGTTATGACAAAAAAAAATGTTTTTCGTTGGATTCACTCCAGAAAATTTATCTCGGTAATCTCCTAGCATTTTCGATACGATTCCCCTACTTAATTTCGTGATTATGCTGACCGAATTTTAATTAAATTTTAAAAAGTTAATACCCCTAACCGAATATTGACCTCTGAATTCATAAAACGCTTTTTCCGAATTTACAGAACACTAAAACAAACAGTTTTTTTCAAACCAGCTTTTTTTCACTAGAAAAAAAATTTGAATTTTTTTTTTGTCAACTTCAAACGCTTTTCTCACGTGTGTAAAAGAAGCGTAAATCCGACCGTGCAACCTCCACGTGGTACGCTTTGGGTAACGCTAATGCCGGCGGTTTTGCGAAATTTCTGAAAATCGGTTCAAAATTTTTTTTATTTTTTTTCATAATTTCAAACGCTTTCTGCAATAAGAATGAAAAAAAATCAAGAAAAAAATTTTTTCAATTTTTTACAGATTATGAGCATTTAAAGGCAAAAAAACGTGATCCTTTAATTTTTTTAAAAATTCAATCGAATGAAACAAAAAAACGGCTTAATGGATCGAATTGAAAATCTGTAGGGCTTTTAGGGGTAAAATGACCTGTAAAAGGCACACTTGACATTAGTCATTTTCCCAATATTCACAATGTGGCACGTGATTTTCTAGAAGACCCCTCCTAAAAGTCCTATTTTTCAGTCATGTTAAGGATAAAAAAATTTTTTTTTCTAAAAAACCGTGCAAGGACCTTGTAGAGAATTCATTCAAGCTTCTGAAACCCTCCGTGGATTTTCTGTGCAACCATTGGTTTCTGAGATATCGATGAACAAAGAGAAAATGATCCATTTTCATTCAAAGTCCGATAGCTCAGCGAGAAATGGTCGTATCGAGACCAAAAAAAAACAAGAAATTGAAGTTAAATGAACAACCTATCTAATCCATAAGGTGGTTAAGTTGGAAAAATTTTTTTCAAGTCCGTACACCAAAAATAAGATCAAAAAAAATTTCGAAAATATTTTTTTCATGATATTCATTAAGATTACGCGATACGTGTTACTTGGAAAAATTTTTTTTGCAAGATCCAAAAATTAGAAACTTCAAGCTTCAAATTGCTTTTTTTTTACTCCAATACGACCATTTTTATCAAAGATACAGCCATTTGAAAAATCGCCGAAAATTTAGATTTTTTTTTTGATCCCTTAATTTTTTCCATTAGTTTATTTATGAAAACAACTAGAAATTTTTTTGCTCCATAACATAATATAGCTACTCCCTATGCATAAAAATTAGGCAATAAGTTCTATACAGGTATTACAATATTTTCACTTTGCTTTATTGTCGTGAATTAAACTAGAAGTAAAAATAAAATTTAACTTCTATTTAGTGCAATTAAATAATTGCTTTCGAAACCTGAAGCCAAAAGAATGATTCCAAAGCCTGGAGTCTTCAGGTCAAAATTTACATTGTTGACAACTTTAATTGTAAGTAAATTAACCAGCAACTAATTTTGCAGGTAAATTTACTGTATAGACCCTTTTTACAATTTTTTTAAGAAGCGCTTATTTGCATCTAGAAAGAAAAATAGGGGGATGCAAAAGTTGTTTTGTTTCTCGAATAGTAGGCTCTTGATAATCTATTGAAATGTGTGATGTGAAAACTTCGATAGATAATGATGACAAACCATTCAGCTTAGTGGACTTTTTTGATTCTTAATAGGTATATTCTGATTCATTTGATCAAGATTTAAAATTAAAACCAAGAAAACATTTTTCTCTTCTCCAATGTATAATAAATTATATAAACATATTTTCCATTGATTATAGTAATACTGTTAAATCGAAGTCAGAAATGTGTTGTTATCAGTTATACTTTTTCTTCAATTATCAATTAATATACATACCTACCTACATAATTACATAATAATATCTATATAAATCATTACTAATACTAATTGCAAACACTGAACACCTTGAAATGTCTCTTTAGCTTTATTTGTATTGGTAATTCGTGCTACATAGGGCTCCAAGTTGGTTTTATTGTAATTTGCAAAATACCAATTAGTATCATCATTGCTTATCCTTTCTGTAGAAGGGTTTGTAAAATAGTCATAAAAATTTTTACTTTCTCTGTGTGGTAAAGGGTTTGGTACATTTGATGTTTGAAGAGTAGGTTGCAGAGACGGGTTAGTTATGTGTGGGGAGGTAACTTTTGTTATTGTAGACCTTCCACCTTGCTTGAATTGATTATTTCTAGGAATTAATAGAGTGGATAGAGGTGTCCTTGAATTTTTTTCAATTATAACTTCATGTTTTTTATCGATATGCACAGATTTAAAAACACCCGAGGATGTGTTTTTAAGGACTTCTATAGTAGCGACATATCTAGGATTAGATGTAGTAATTATTTCTGGTTCTTCTGTTGTTATAATTGTAACAGGTTCAGTAGTTGTAATCTTTTCTGGTGATTTTTTAATCATTTTTGTTGTGTATGCTAACGTTTCAATTTCTGGAGCCAAAGTGGTTTCTTCTCTAGTATCTGTTGTTGTTTCTTGAGCTATGACTAACTCATTTTCATTTAAATTTTTAGTGGTGGTTTCTGTCTGAACTGACACAGTTTCTAAGTTCTGATTGAGTTTAGCATCATTTTCAAAATTTATAGTCTGTCGATTATCTAGCTTAAGTACTTGCTGAAGTTTGTTTAATAATGGAATATTTGTTACATTTTCAGACATTTTTGTGGAAGATGAACTTGATTTTTGATTTTTATCAGCAACATCTGTTGATTGAAGTTTTGTATTGTTTTTTTCAAACAAAATATTTTTTGGTGAGGTTGTAGTGACCACATTTTTAGAATTTTTAGGTGTTTTTATTGGCTGACCATTATTCGTATTGTTAAAAGAAAAATGTCTCATTGACAAACTGGGGTCAGGTATGGGCTTAAAGCCGCCATAACTTGGTAAAACTGGAACAAATCCAGTTTGTATTTCTGGCCTAGAAGGAGGAAGCATATAAGGCGGTTGCATTTTAAGAGGTGAGTTACGGGGTATGTTTCCTATACTGCTTCTCCCTGTATTTGCGTCAAGTTTATTAACAATTGCAGTTTTTCGTTCAGCTGAAATGGTTGGGGGTGGCACTTTTGCCTCCATTCGACCTTTTCCTGTTCCTAACAAATTATTCAGATTCAGATTAGGTAATGGAACTCCAAAAAATGTAAAGCCGCTGGTACTTGGCGAATTATTTACTTTTGGAGGGATGCTGAATTTCTTGGTGTTGTTCTTTGAGGCGGCATAAATTGTTGGAGTATCACCTAATAAATAATATATTATGAATAAATAGGCAAGCAAAATCGAACTTATAAAGTATTTACTTATTAAAACTGTAAAAGCATTTTCTAATGAAGTCAAAAGTAGGTATGCTTTCATTATATTTTTTATATAATACTTTTCCACGCTCTAAAAAATATAAATTATTTATAACTTCTTGTGCTATAGATTACACAGTGTATATTGTATTTGATACATTTTTCTAGTTTGTCCATATTGTATAACAAAATAAAAACAATATTTATAGTACCTATATAAATAAAAAACTGACAAGAAAACTGATCTGGTAAATTATTATTATTTTATTTTATTAAATTGTGTTGGCATTTTTATAATTTCTTTATCTCATTAGCATTTTTCTGGTATTATTATTCCCATTATATATTTACCATTTCATATATTTTATCTCTGAACCTGTAATTGGGGACTTCGTCTCTTGTACATATATCGGGTGTCCCGAAATTAATGGGACACAGAGCGAGGGTAGATTCCTTACATCAAAATAGTGCGATATAGCTTAGTCCATTTGTGGATAATAAAAAAGTTACAGGGTGTTAAAGTTAAAACTTTGAATTCAAAATGCTTAAACATTTCAAAGAAGTACGTATCCGGACTTAACATGCTGTAGAAGCTAGAGGTCGCTACAAAATGTAGGTACTCTTGGTTGATAAAAATTGGTCATAACTTTTTTTTCAGTGTGTATATGAAAATTTTAATAGAAAAATATTATTCTCATCTATTTTACATAAATAAGATATACTTGTTTCATCTCGTTAAATTTTACCATTTTCGATTTATGTATTAATTGTTTTTCTATTGGACGCAATTTACGTTGAATGCGCTCTGGCACTGGCACTGTAATGTAACTCTTTCTCACAAATGAAGTTGGTTTACCTGTGCATAGTATTTTCAGAACAATGATGTCAACAATTTGTCGAATGTTGAGAAATGTCCAACCATGATATAATAAAATAATTTTATGGTTTGGCACTTTTTGTATGCAGAAAACAAATATTTAAATCTATTTTATAGTTTTATCAAGTTGTTCTCCAGAATTACTTAAACTGAAATTGAAAATTGAACATTAAGGTTGCAATTCTTTCATTATTCTCATCAAGTGACATTTAATTTTTTAATCATTTAGTTTTTTCGCTTCTGTTTCTGCTGTTTTAAGTTTATTATTCTTACGTAATTTTTTGTTTTCTGTTCGTTTATACTTTTTACTTTATTGGTACATAGGTACGTATCTTTAATGTTTGAACCACTTATTGATTGTAACATTTAACAGGAAATAAGCCATCGTTGATAAATATCCGCTATATCGATATCCTCACCGGTATCTGCAAATATCGATTCAGAAAATCTGTATCCACATTCGCATCCGCATCAGCATCTGCAGATGTCTAAAGTAATGACATTTATAACATCCCTAGTATACAGGGCTACATCTGCCTTTACATGAGAGCAACAAAGTAAAGTAAATAAATCCGAGCGATAGACAAGGATGGCTATAGTGAAGACGTTACATAATCTGAATAGTCACCGCCCGTTTCAGGTTAGAAGTGAGTGACTATTCAGATTATGAAACGTCTTCAATGTAACCATCCTTGTCTATCGCACGGATTTCTATGACTTACTTTATCGCTCTCACGTAACGGCCGATGTAATATGGGGACTTTCCGAACCTGTATACTTAGGTGCATATACAGGGCTGGAAAATCCACATGGTACATCTGCCTTTACATGAGAGCGGCAAAGTAAAGTAAAGAAATCCGTGCGATAGACAAGGATGGCTATAGTGAAGACGTTTCATAATCTGAATAGTCACCGCCCGTTTCGGGTTAGAAGTGGGAGTGATTATTCAGATTATGAAATATCTTCAATGTAACCATCCTTGTCTATCGCACGGATTTCTATGACTTACTTTATCGCTCTCACGTAACGGCCGATGTACCATGGGGACTTTCCGAACTTGAATCAATTGACTGAAATCATTTAAAAAAAAATTTTTTCTTCTCGAAAAAGAAGCGTTTACAGGCACATATTCTAAGAACTTTTTTTTGTGAATTTATAACGTACAACGTACAAAATCAGCCATTATATTTTTGCCTGGTGTTACATCTTGTAAGTTTAAATTTTGCGTAATTATTAACCCATTCGAGATCTATTTCACTTTACTACAATTCGATATTGAACAAGAATATGTTTCATTATCTTACCTGACGTATAATGCGGAGATTTTGTAGTTATTGGCACTTTCATTGTAACAGGTTTTAAATCTACGGTTTTATCTTTAGATTGTTCATTAAGAGGTCCAGTATTGTCAATCATGCTTTCGTTATAGGGATAGTCGATATAATCGTCATAGAAATACTCAGATTCTTCTGGAGACGGAGCTATATTATTTTTCTGACTTCCATTCTCCTTGGTAAGATTTTTGAAGGATTTCAACTTCATCCACTGCGAAAATACTTGCGAAGTTGTGTATGTGCCTGGAACTGTTAAAAATTCAGCCTCACATCCCGATGCTAACATTTCAGAAATGCGATCCTTCTCAGAACATTCTTCGCGTGATAGTTGCATTTCACGGAGGAGTGTTCCGTCTAGGCAATGAGGTCCTTTTTGGGATGACTCGTGGAGCCAAGCTTGCAACCATAAAATATTGCATCCGCAGATTAATGGATTTCCTGAAAAAATTATGTTTATGACTCGCCTGATATTATTTGTTTGCAGTATAATGTTAGTTTTTTCTGTTTATTTGTGTTTTGCCACATGCGAAAAATTTTACACTAATTAATTTAACCGTCAAAGCGATTAGACAAGGGTTGATTTTATTGAAAAATTTTTGCTTAACCAAAGCTTATATTGAAAAAAGCAGATCCCTCAGAAAAGCAATATGCCTTCGTTCTTCAAAAAAAAAAAAAATGTCCATTTTCATAGCATTTAATATTATGCAAAAAAATTAAAAAATAAGTTGAATCGTTAAATAAAAAAATGCAAGAATGAAGAAAAAATTATAGTTACTATTCAAAAGTCAAAATTTTCATTTGTTTTTCATGGTAGGTAACTAATAATGTTACCTATATTAATAATTATAAAACACGATTTTTGCCCTAGCCTTAATGCAATGGGTTAGCTCTAGTTCTAGTATAACGGAACATTGAACTCGTTATTTTGATGCTCTCCAATATAGCGTCCATGAAAGTCAAAAGTTATCTATGGAAAACATGAGGATTTAGTAGGCTTGGAAAACTTTGAAGAATACATCGACTTATGTTCATATGCCAAATTTCATTATGCTTACTACTGTTAGTAAAAAAAATAGATATGGAAAAGTAAAAAGAATTGTTTTTCATTTTTTTTCAATAATCTTAAGTGATATTAATATACGCAAGTTTTTTGTAAATTGGAGTAACTCTGCATGTGTCTCTGTGTCTGCTAGTTTAGGAGAATTTAAAGGTTTACTCCTTAAAAGTGATCGCAATTTAATTCAATTTTCTTTAATATTGTTATTCACCTTTTTTAAAATATTGGCCGCCAAATTTGATGAAATTTTATGACTATTCATAGTCTTAGGAAATTTTTTATTTATAAAATTCCTCTTTTTGTAGTCTGTTCATCTATTCCAACATTCGCAGGTGGATTTAGAGGACTCTTCAATATAATGTCTACTGCATTCACAAAGTACGCTGTAATCGCAATTTTTTGAATTTTGGATATTATTTGGGCCAGTTTTAACCAAAAACTTTCACAAACATGTAGGTAGGTACTTACTTGTTTGAATAACTGTTCCGATAAATTACTTATTCTCCTTAATTTTTCTGAAAGTTTTTTGACGATACTGTTGTCCAGAGATATTTGCTTTCTAATGGAATATAGTTGGATAATTAGGATTTTATTTCACTCTAAACATCTCTAAGTGCTGGCACCACTTACTAAATGACCAAACTGTTTGACAGATCGCTTGACACGCGTTTGAGGTTTGATTTTTACTTCAATGTTTAAAATGTCACGCCTTGATGCAGAAAACTTTAATAATAAAAGCATTTGAATATTTTTGTTTTTCAATAAAATGTTTTGCTTGTACGTATATGTTCACCTTCATTATTGTACAAAATTTTGTTAACAAAGATTTTCGCAAGTGGCAAAATATTTAAATAAACAAAAATAACATATATGTAGGTACTTGTGAGTCTGTAAACATATTTCTACAATAGGTTGTTGCAATAAGAGAGAAATAAATTGTGCAGGTGATTCTTACCTTCAACATCAAGAACAGCAATGTTTCCACGAAGTCGTTCCACGGCTTCCTCTGGAAAAGACGACATCTTGTTATTTTTCAAACTAATAACTCTTAGGCGCGGCATTGTATTAAAACTTGATCCTTGAATTTCGCAAATATCATTGTTATCCATCCTTAACTCCACCAACCACTCCATTCTTTCCAAACTGGAACTCGCTACTCTAGTAATTCTGTTATTACTAACGTCTAGCATTTCCAAAGATTTTAATCCACTCAAGCCCGCTTCCTCTAGATCAACTAAGTTGTTGCTACTCAAATTGAGCATTAGTAATTGTGGAATTAGACTGAAAGCATCAGGTGAAATGCTTCTTAACTCATTGTTTTGTAACTCTACGACTTGTAGAGATGGAAGATTGTAAAATGCCATTTTTGGAATTTCTTTGATGGCATTTCTATTAATTTTAATAGTTTTTAATACTGGCAGGTCTCTTACAGCGTTTGATTCGATGAATTCTAACTCGTTATTATCTAAATGTAATGCTTTCAATTGTTGCAAATTGTTGAATGAACCTTGTTTCAATTCTTGAATAAAATTTTTAGAAATCTTTAATTCGTGTAAATTTGATAAGCTGCCAATTATTTCAGGATCAAGATTTTTAATCCTGTTACTTGTCAAATCAAAATATTTTAAATTTTTGAGACCATAAAATGTTATTGGTAGTTGCACTAGAATGTTGTAAGAAACATCGACATTTTGAAGTTCTAAGTTTTTATCTAATGTACCAGGTAAAATTTCAGCTAGTTGATTTTTACTTAAATCTAATTGCTTCAACTGCGGGGTGTCTTTGAACATCTCTGGAATCAAAATATCCAAACGGTTGTTATTTAAATTTAACTCTTTCAATTCCCTGGTATCTTTAAATGTGTCTGGATGAATATGTGCTATCATATTTCCATGAAGATGGAGAATTTCGAGTTGACTTAGACCAACAAGGGAGTTTCCTGTTAAACTTTGCAGTAAATTTTTCCCTAAAAAGTAAATTATATTAATAAAGTAAGAGATGGTGATTTGTTTGAAATGTTACCTATATACAAGCGTCTCAGTTGAGGCATAGTTCTAAGTGCACCTTTTGGGATTGTTTGTATCTTATTAGAAGACAAATCTAGCATGCGAAGTACTGGCAATTCTAGGTCTGGAGAAGGCGCTACTGGTAAAGCTCCAATTTTGTTGTAATGTAGGTGCAAGTATTCAATACCTCTTGGAAGACCCGGTACAAATTCTAACAAAAGGTTATGACTAACATCGAGTTCATACAAATTCAAAAGGTGCCTAAAAGTTGCTGGATGTATTGTAGTTAAAAGGTTGTAAGAAATGTTAATGTGTTCGAGGGATGGAGTGGGTAAAAATAACTCGGAATCTATAACGGTTAACTCATTATAGCTCAAATCGACGCGTCTTAACAAAGGCAGATTTGCAAAGAAACTAGACCGAAGTAACTTAAAATAATTTCCAGATAAATCTAACCCTTTCAACGCTGGCAAATTCCAAAATGGGGTTTCCAAGATATTCGACAGAGAATTGTTTTTTAATCGAAGCTCTCTTAGAGCTGGCATCGCCATAAAAGCCTCCCTATCTATTAAGTTCAACTTGTTGTAGTCCAAATTTATATACTCCAAAGTGGAATGACCTCGTAATGCACCAAATGGTATAGCTTCCAAACTATTAAAGCGTATATCTAAAAATACAAGTCTTGGTAAGGCGTCCAAAAGAGAACGCAGATCTCCAACGTGACTTATATCATTTTCTACGAGGTACAGCTCTTCTAATCCACTTCCGGAATGTTGGAGAAAACTTTCTGGGTGCACCCTCCTCAACATATTTTTATTTAAATCTAACGTTCTTAATTCCGGCACCATATAAAACGCGCCATGATTCAGTTCGGTGATGCGATTACTAGTTAAGTAAATTTTTTTTAAGGACGGTAAGTCGACAAATGAGGCCTCATCTAGTCTATTTATAAGGTTATGATCTAGTCTAATTATCTCTAACTGAGGTAAATCTCTGCCAGCCCTGCCTACCATTCCTGCGTCTGTTATTTTATTGCCTACAAACCAAAGTTCCTGCAGCAATGGCAATTCTCTAATAGCTCTAGGATGCATCCAGGAGATGCCGCAGTAAGACATGTTTAACAGACTTAACTTAGGCAAATCGAAAAATAAATTGGCTTCCAATCGTGTAAGCTTTGGGCTCGAGGTGATGTGCAATTTTTCCAAACTTGGATTATTTTTAAAGTTCGTTGGTGATAACTCTAAAAGGGATTGAGATTCTATTTGCAAGTAACGCAGCTTTGGCATCCCAGAAAATATTGGTAAACGCTTTAGTAATGCTGTTTGAATGGTGACTGCTTGTAAAGCATTTAATTGTGATAGAGAATCATCGGGTAAACTTCTTAATCGCGGTTCAACGATGAAAATCTCAACCAAAGTTGACTGTAGGCCCGCTAACCAGTCGCTAGATACTCTTTCTAACCCATTATATCGCAACATTAATCTCAATATTTTTAATGGAAAAAAAGTTCGTCCAGGCAAAGACGGAAGAAGATTATTTTCTATGATTAGTTCATCTATTGAGTCTTTTATGTATTCTCCTACTGCTTTCAGACCATCTAATACCCTTGACAAATCGCTGTGGGAACACCTAGGATAAAATATAATTAGTTTTCTTTTAAGCACATTTACAGATACAGAGTAGTTTTTGATATCTACTGGTAGTTCATCGTATGACCCGCAAACGTGCAATAAAGTAAAGCACGGGGTGTTGTGACGACGAATTGTGACCTATCCAAGTGACCATACACCCGTTAGAATTGGGTGTAGTACCCCATCTTTTATGATTTTTTAAACCATAAAAAAATTTATAAAATTTCGAAAATTATTTCTTTTTTCCAAGTACAATAATCGAAATGTTTCGTTGGTACACTGAACAAAATCGACCAATAAGAGTTTTGCTAAGATAATCTGCATTGTAATAACAATTTTTCTTATTAGTCTTAAAATATTATACGACAAACTTAATTAAAATTATTTTGCTAACAGAATTTTATTTCTTTAAGACTCAGATCCAGATACAGTCTGAGGAGGTTTCCCACTATATTTCAAGCAGAAATTTTGGCGATAATGGTGTGTTTAGTAGAGAATGTACGTAGAGGTTATAAACATAAACTCATATACATATTATCTGGCAGTCAAGCAGCAATTAAGACTTTAGACACACACAACGTAAGTTCAAAACTTGTGTGGTAATGTTTACAAATGCCAACTGAACTGGCTACCACTAATACAGTTAGACTGGGTTGGATGACAGGACACAAAGGCATTGACGGAAACGAGAAAGCGCATGAACTTGCTAGGAAGGGATCCGAAATAGAGTTCATTGGCCTGGAGACCTTCTATGGCACATCGCCCAGTATGGTCAGGGTGGTCTGTTGTTAATAAAATTCGATTTTCTCAAAAACGGTACAAGATATCGATTGATAATGGTTTACCTTTTCTTTAGCAAATTGAGAGGAGGAATCGAACTATGAAAGAAAAATGCCAAATTTGGCAACGCTGTCAATGATGTATACATTTAATTGTTTAATTGCATCTGCTCCTGTATGATCCAGGCAGATTGAATATCAGTTTAAACTTGGAAATGAACATTATCATGAGTTACTTTAGTTGCCCAAATTTCATTGTTGTCATGGTAACGACTTAGAAGTTATAATTGGAATTTGTTTTGAAACTTCTTTCTTTGAAGACGAATAACTCCACAACGAAGCCCGATAGGAAAAAAAATTATGTAGTACTACAATTATTTTGAGCTACACAGTATACCCCTTCATTTTTTACATGACCTTTCCGGACACCCTGTATATGACATCTAGCAAAAATTAGAACTGAGAGTTGCAAATATTACCTTAAAAAAAGTTTTATGTTTTAAATATTTTATACAGCAATAATGTTTTACAAATAGTTAGATTTTTTTCGTCTATAATAAGTCACGTGTCTAAACTAAAACAATTTTGCATTTTCCTCAAAATGATGTTTTTTTTCTAAATTATAGGGATTGAAACAAATAAATGTCCAGAATATTATGTTTACATGTTATAATTATTGATACCTAATAAATTACTTGGACTCAAATTTGAAAAGTAGGTATACCTATATTTTAGAATCGCAAGTCGTCGCCGTGAAGGTACCTTCGCCGCACGTCCGTAACATATGTACTTTACACGCCTTAAATATGTATCTTCATATTATAGAACAGTAATAAGATATAAAAATGTTTTTTAAAATTTTGAATATAAACGTTAATGTTAGGTGTTTCAAATTCATATTAACAGACATTAAGTGTAATATATTTAACATTACAACTTGACCAAATCATATATGATTCTCGAAAAATGTATTGTATATTATAAACTGGACTAAAATTAAAACATATTTTTATTTTACCATATTTGATATTCTTCTCCTCTCACCAAGCATCGACAGGGCAGTATGGCTTCTTGAAGTGGACATACTCTTTGTGAATTGATTTTTTCAATTTGTGTCCATAAAATAAATATTAGAATACAGCAGCTCCAAAACACGTACATTTTGATCAAGTCATGTCAGTGGTTTTTCATCACAGGTTGACATGAGACCTAATGCGTTGGTCTTCATCAGTCGCTTCTAAAATTATAGTAAAACTTTACTTTTATGTAGGTACTTTTAAGTAATAGTACAGTAAGAAAATTGCAATGTTTATTTTTTTATTATTTCCTGTGACACCGGTAGTATAGTAAATTGTGTAACGAGTGGGGAAAAGTTGCCAATAGCGCCACGCGGACGCAGTTGACGCACGAGCGAAGCGAGTGCGGAAAGCGCCCAAGTGGCGCTATGGCAACTTTTCCGAACGAGTTGCACATACTATTTTCTATCACAAGTGCGAGTCGTTATGGGACCTATAGCATAGGGGGTTAGGTGCACGGAAAGTGTTAGATAGTACAACAGCGTGATGTTATTTTCATAGCGCAAATAAGATCCACTTCTTATTTGTGGAAGGGCGAAATTGGCGTTGACTATTAGACGCCTTCATTATAGCCATCCTTGTCTATCACATGGATGTCTATGGCTTACTTTATCGCTCTCACGTAACTTCTGATAGACCATCGGTACTTTCCTACACTGTATATGATCGCTATCCTAGCTAATAATAATAAAAAAAATTGTTTACATCCCAGTCAGGATATTTATACATGAAAATTACAAAGAAAAAAATGAAAACTATAACCATTGCTAATGGATATGAATCAATAAATTCGGTTGAAGTAGTTTTCACCTCCCGCTTACAATTAGTGGCAGATGCAAAGAAAAAGGAAATTTTACACAAAGAACATAATTCTAAAAGAGCATCTCAGTGTCTACAAAAAGGGGAATTTCTGTTTAAAATATTTTTCTATCTCCTGTTCAGTTTGGCATTGACTATATTTTAATATTAAACATATCTCTCCTGATTAGGGTATAACTGCAAAACTTTATAAAGTATGTAAAACGATAGCGTTTAAATAGCAATACAATGGGTATTTTACAGAAATTTCTATGGTCATTATTTACACTCCATGATCATGGTATCTACCTACCTACCTATGCTCATAAAAATGAATTACTTTCTCGGGTATGTAATTTTTTATATTTGCCTTTTAGTTACTAGAATTTCACTGCTTACAAATAGCATACAATATCGATTATTATTCTGTACCTTTTATATTAAATGAGGCATATTATCTATAAATGAAGATCTATGTATCACCAAAATTAACCCAGTGAGGAAAATTGGAAATTATTTTAAAAAAATACCAGAGCGCCACAGGGCGGGGCTGTGTGAACCCATTTAACATTTAACATTTAACTCATTTTTTTACTTTGCATTTGAGTAACACCTACTGAAAATTAACACAGTTTTTAAACAGATTACTTAAACTATGTCGATCACTATATCAGTTTTTTAAATACAAATCATTTAGGTCATGACCCGACCATTTTTAATTTTCCTGATTTTTTAATATTATTTAGTACCTACCCATTTAGAGTAGCTTTCATGAATTTTTTCAAATTTTTAATTCAACCCCTCAAGAAGTTATGAGCAATTGAATATAAAAAATTTTCAAATACCTGTAACTTGACAAAAAGATATCATAAACTTTTTTTCATTATATTCGTTTTGAGATGTAGTTTAATAAAAAAACATAAAAATAATACATTTTCAATTTTTTCAATTTTTAAATTTTTAACCCAAAAGGGCTTTTTGTAAAAGAGTGGCGTTTTTTCCTCTTCAAAAAATTATCCAAAAAATCGTCTTTCAATATGCAAATTTATGAGATAGGTTCTAAATTGGAATCTTCTTTTATTCTATTTTCTTTTCGAATATTTTTTTTTGTATTTTATTTTTTTACAGATAATGTACACTGTTAAACCAAATTTTATTATAGAAATAAATCGCGATGACTAATTACTAAAAATACCGTATTTTTAAAAATACTTCTACTAAGACTTCCATTATTAAATATCTAAATTATTATTAACTAAATATTCCGAATGTTTTTTCAATATTAAAAAGTTTGTTTTACATAATGCTATAATACTTGTTATATTTTCGACCATTTTGACCAACAGGAATGAAAAATCAATTTAAGAAATTAGTAAAGCAAATAAGAAGAAACTGATTCAGATTTAATGTTCAGTGTTGTGGATTTTGAGTAACTTATTTTTTACTTTATTTACTTAGTTCTTCTAGAGTTTTGACTTTTGACATTCGTTTTCATTTTAAATATGTAAAAAATATTAAATTTGGTCAATTTGTTACATGTAAAATGGTTTTATAAATATAGCTAAAAATTCGCAATAGAGATACAAATCGGTTATATTTTATGTATCTATTTCAGACGTATGTAATTTGAGACAATCTAGAGAAAACTTAACCAAAACCAAGATCCGTATCTACAGTAACGTGACATCAAGTGTGTAATGAGTACCGTATAACTAATGACAACAAACACGTCACATTTACTTGGTACCCATTATGGGTACACATGGGATAAACCGTTTTAGTTTTCACAGAAGGTAGCCACATCCGTTATTTTAATTTCTCAACGAGATATTTAAAATATATGTGCCAGCCATATGGGTGTATTTTTTATCCTGAAACTTTCAAATATCTCGCGATATAAGCACCCTACGAAAAAAATGTTTAATCAATTCGCGGGAAAAATACATTAGGGATAAAATTAGGCCCTTTCCCCCACCCCATGTATGTGAGAAGGAGGGTAACTTTGAAATCTTAAATAGGAACCCCTATTTGTTTTACTGCACATTCAAATTCTACGGCTAAAAGTACGTATGAGTTGTTTTTTCGATTCATGATAGATGGCGCACTATCAGTCAAACGGCATTTTTTTATGTCAAAATCAAATATCTCGAAGAAGAATTAACGAATCGTTTTACATTTTTCTTTAATTCAAGCTTATTTGATGCAGATTTAGGAAAAATTATTGCGAAAGTCATCATCCCCTATTTTGGGGGTGGAAATGAAGGGAGAATAGGTGAAAAAAGTGAAAATCGATTTTCTTCGTTCAAAAATCTTATATCATCGATAAATACAGTGAAATTAAGACACATTTTGGTAGAATTAATGCTCAATTGAAACAAGTTAAGGAAAAATTAATGAAAATATTGTTTATGAATAATTATTATTATTTCAAAAGTTTAAGATACTAATCCTTTAATAAAGTTATGATGTACTGTCCAATATATCATCAAACATTCTTTTTTTCCAGCAAACGAAGAAACTCTCGTATATTTACTTGTCTATTTCTAGTACTTTTCCATTTTTTAACCCTCAACCTTAATTTGCATCCTTAAGGAGGACGTGATGAAAAACCACCAGAAAGTAAGAGAGGATTAAAAACAGTGATCATATTTATATTCATCGAACATCGAACCCCTTCCAATGACAGATTTTTTATGAAAGTGATGAAAATCCCTCCACCTCTTATTCCTACCCTTAAAGCACGGACTAATAAAAAGCTACACTTAAAGTTTGACGACGAAAAATTAAACTTTTACGTATCTAGGGATCTCAAAAACCCTCAACAAATCCCTTCTTTGACTTTTTACATTCTACCCCTAACCCCAAATTGCCATTTCCCTTAGCTAAGGGATAATGAAGAATCACCCCGAAATTTACAGATGATAAGAAAATGGTCCACCATGTTATTTAAGATCAGAGAATTGAAAGACTGGTAATATTTCAGATGAATCAGGGGATGATAAAAACAGCTTTTTGTTTTAGTGATGCTTTTATTCGTGTTCAGTGAAAACAAAAACCTTTTATGCATATAATGTAATTTGTAGTCTGATTAATTGTTTATTCATTTTTTACATAAAATGATTTACATATAAAAAAATTATATGAAAATTACATTTTCATTGTTCAATTTTTCAAAAATTTCTTAAAACAATGAACGAATTTTAGATTCATTCAATAATGAATGACAATGTGTCTCAGTTTAACCATTTTTCCGAGACAACAATGTTATCCAATTTGAAACATCCTATATGTATACATAAGACATAGATTATTCGTTATTTTTTATTGGAACCAACGATTCTGAGGTCTTTGATTGGAACAGTGTAAACATCTTAGGGATCTTGTTATATGTGAACTATAGTAATTCAAGTTATATTATTTTAGGAACCACATTTTTATTTTTTATTCAAGTTTTTCTTTAAACAACGTCTTTTCTTATTGTTTTTGTTTTGGTTTAAGGCAGAAATTTCCTTTCTTCCTCTTATTCTTATATGCTAGTGAAAATACAGCAGGAAGAAAGAATTACTCTCAATTTTTAATTAAATTCGCCATTCTTGTAAAGCTTTCTCGATAAATGTATGCCTCCGTCATAGAGACAAAGTACGGAACTTACGAATTAGAACCGTGAAGCAATGTATTTAGAGTAAGCAGATGCACTTTCACTGAATATAAAATAAAAAATTGTTAATTTAAATTTCTCACGTTGATAGACAACGTTGCAAATTAAAAAGATACTATTTTAAATATGATAAAATCCATTAACAAAAGTTAATTTTCACTCATTATTCTTTCATTTAATTATACTTTAAAATTACAACATTTTACGACTGGTACTGTCAAATAAAAATCCCTAAATCTTGGCATCACCCATAATGCTTCATTTACAATAAACAATGACAAACTGTTAGTCTACGCTCGAGATAATGCGATCGCTGATTGGTTGAATCTCGTGAAAAATTACACCAATCACAGTCGGTGAAACAGAATGTTATATTTTAATGTAACCCTGATCTTATTGTTTTAATAATTTTTAATTTTACCGACGCCGACGTTTAATTGCCAACATGAAAGAAATAAAATTACTGTTCCAAACTAGGGCTTGAACAGTATGTTCAACATTATTTTTGCTAAGTGCCAAGCTAAATCAGATTAATTCTAAAAAATTTCCTAGTCTCATCAAATAAAATTATATGCGATATTCAGAAAGTTTGGGACACTGCTGCACCACAGACTTTTAGGATCAAATTA